GACTTCGAGTGACAGAAGGAAGTGGATCAAAACCTCCAGTTCTTGTAATCGCACCTACGGAAGTCGCAGCTTTCAATATCAATGGTGCAACTATTCACTCGACGCTTTCTATACCTTTATGTAATACCAAGAATCTTGAATTAGACAATAAGCAATTAAAACAATTACAAGAATGATTACAAAATGTTATATACCTTATCATCGATGAAAAAAGTATGGTAGGACGTCGAATGCTCAAATTAATTGACATTTGGTTGCGACAAGCATTCCCTGAATACACGAACAAACCTTTTGGCAGAAGATCCATCATAATGTTTGGCGATTTCGGGCAACTTCCTCCTGTATGTGACATGCCTATGTATGCTAACAACATAACACACGATATTATTTCAAATGACGGCATCGCAGCATACAAACATTTCAGAGAGGTATATAAGCTTGATGTCGTTCAAAGGCAATCAGGTAATTCGGAAAAGCAACAGGGCTTCAGAGAGTTACTCTTGAGGCTACGAGATGGAGAATGCACATTAGAAGATTGGAAAAAACTCTGCACACGCTTTGAAAATAATTTCAATAGAATAGAGCAAGATCGATTTTCAGATGCCGTATTCATACTAATGAAATGGGCTGATGTAGACGGAGTTAATATCGAGATGCTCGTCTCGTTGAACAGGCCAATAGCTGAAATCCTTGCGTCACATTCCGGAGGTCGAAAGGCTAAAAAGGCTGATTCGGATGTAGCGAAAGGTCTTGAGGCTCGTTTGTAACTGGCGAAGGGTTGTCGCGTCATGTTAAAAGCCAACTTATAGACTGAGTGTGGGTTAGTCAACGGCTCAATGGGTACAATACAAGACATTATATATGAGGAGCAGGGCCCACCTTCACTTTCTACAGCAGTTTTCATCAGTTTTGACCAATTTGAGGGACCTACTATCGCAACAACCGAGGGAGTCAATGTCATTCTGATCGTACCTATTAAACACATTTGGGAAAGTAAATCTGGAACGCAATGTTCTCAGCTTCAGGTATCAATATATCTTGCTTGGGCAATCACAGTGCATAAGAGTCAGTGACTCACCCTACAAAAGACTAAAATAGATCTTGGAAACAAAGAGTTTGCAGCGGGTCTTTCGTTTGTTGCAATTTTTCGAGCTCGTTCACTTAACGATATCTGCTTCAACTATTTCTCATTTGAGAGGCTCCAGTGTATAAAGACTTGCAGAAGGCTGTAAGAAAGGAAGGTCGAAAAAGAGCATCTACTTTGTTATCGTGAGAAAAAATAATAAAGTTTTCACGCATTTTTTGTTTGTTTACAAATATAGTAGTCATAAATAAAAACGATTTGGCGTAATTTTTTTTTGTTTTATTTTTATTTATTTTGTTTGTTTTATGGTGCAAGGATAATTACTTTATTTAGACAGGATGTAACAGTACAACCAATTACGATCAGCTCAAGCTGCGAGTGGGCGGATAACGGGATACCTTGTGTAATATGTGGCTAGTATGTAAAAGTCTTTCGCTTCGCTTCGGACTAATAAGTTAGATGGTATATGATACGTCAAAATATTACATTCTTCCTTAACTAAATCACTGAAAATATCAAAATGAATAGGAATGTACACATGTAATGAAATATAAGAAATATCATTAATATTTTTAATTGCTTCGTCTGTATAACAATGCTTGCCATATGCATCAAAATAAATTGAAATCACTCGTCCCACACACATTTTATTGCCAAATCTTACAAATACGTAATGTCCCTTCTTTAATGGAAATTCGGGTGTTATGTTAGCATCTTCAATATTTGGAACTAAAATAGCATAAAGTTAATATTGATTTTACTCTTTTTATGCATAGAAAGATGGAAAAAAACATACTTTGAATCATGCTTATATGAGCTTTTTTCTTCTTTGATACTTTTTTTTGTTTTGATTTTCTAATTCATCTGCATGCAATCGTGTAAGTGTAAAAGCCAGATTTTTCCTATTATCCTTCTATCTTTTTTCACGCTGTGTAACAAACCGCTGTTCTGGATTTTCATTTTTTGTAAAGTAGGCTACAAAGTGACTTGCTTTATTTGTTGAATAGAAAGTTCATTATTTGAACGAGACGAACTTGATCCTACAGGTTTGAATTTTCTTTTAAGAGGTTTTGAACAATATGCATCATGCAGCTTTCTTTGATTGATAAGAGATTCCAAATTTAACTTGTCATTTACAATATACTTGAATTCATTATTCACTATTAATTAAAGAAATAATATTAATAAATATTTTGAAAACAAATAAAATGTCATCGTTATTCAATATAATAAACTTACCACTATCACCATAATTCAAAACTGATATAGTATCTGTTTTTTTATTAAGTAATCGAATTTGAGAGCATCCATCATTAAAAATTCCTTCGATTTTAGATTCATCTTCATCTAAGTTCTCATTGTTTCTAAATACTTCAGTAGATGCTTTATCAATAGCTGTCGATAAATTAATTTCAGATTCTTCAGATATTTCATTTTCATTATTTGTATTATTAGTATACATTGAAATATCTTCATTATTAGCATCAATTAAGATTATGAATAGATCAATACTAATAGGTAAGTTTGCTGGCTGAATCATCCTAAGAAATTTGGTAAGTTCACTTGCCAATTGTCGTGAATGGTGAAATGTTTGTAATATTTGCTCATCTGTTAGCCAAAGACAAAATTTTTGCATAGTTAATTCTTCTAAAGAGCCTGAATTATAATCAAAGTGGTAGCCTAAAATAATTGCAAATAATTTTAATTAGTATTATCAATTGCATGAATTTTAAAGTTTTTCTTTTTTTTTATTATAAATACCTTCACAAACAGATTTGTCTTTTTCGAAGCTTAAGTTTTTATTTCTAAGCGCCTTTGTGTATTGGGATATTTTTGGAAGCATTTGAATAATTTCTGCAAAGTCAAAATCAGAATTAATTTGTCTTGCTACACCAAAAAAATGTTCGCAAGGTTCAGTGCCATACATCCAAGGAATTAAAGGTACTTGTGGATAATATTCACGATGGGCTTTAACTAATAATACAATTGATTAACTAAGAGAAGTAAGTATTGAAAAAGTTTGGGAAGCCAAAAAATTTTGATTAATATTGATAAAATCAGAATATTTATGTGCAAGTGTTTTTATATGAAATTGCCAAAGATGTAAAAAAAAGAACCCCATCATCGCCATTCTGATTCTTTCAATTGGAGCAATATAATGATTAAGAAAACTATCTATGAGTTCACCTAAATGGAGAAGTATATTTAATAAAATAATATATAAAATTATGTATTAAAAACAATTATTTACCTATTACAAATAGATACACAAAAAAACCATTCATTTCGGGTTGCATATCATAATTTTGCGTCAAACATTGTCTTAAGTTCACAGAGCAAAAGGTTCTGTATGCAGCGCCATCATCCTGGCGATCTATTTTAATTACATCATTTTTATACATAATTGAATTATGTCACCTTATAAGATTAAGAAAATGTGAATATTGTGCTGAAGTTGTTCCAAATGTTAACAGATATGCACCAGATATTACAGCATTACGAGCAGTCTTTTTGGTATGTTTTGGATCTTGTATGCAAATGATAGGACCAACACTATCAAAGATCAGACAACTAAAATGAATATTTAAATTATCATCATGAATAGAAAGCTGCTCTGATGTTTGAGTTACAATTATTTGCTCTTGTGCTTGAAATTCAAGAATTGCCCCATCTGATCCAAGAGTCAATATATGAAGTTGAAGGTGTAGTGCTATTTCCTAAATTAATTTTTTATGCAATTTTGAAATGTCATCAGCAGTATCTTTTAATGTATTCGGAATTAAAGCAATTACAACTGGAGGAAACTTAGGCAATGGTACTTTAAATAGATTGTAATTTTAAATATTAATTTAAACAGTATTTAAACTTATATATCAATATACATTACATTTAATTATACTTACTTAAAGAATATATGCACGAACATCTTTAGCAATTGCATTATGATTTTTAATGCAGTTGATAATGTTTGAAATGTCACTGTAGTTGTTAACTTTAGTTTGATTATAAGGTAAAATTGAGCTAACAATGCATCCAAGTTGTGGTGAATATCGTAAATGTGACTTCAATTTAGTATTATTCGTCATAGCTGCTATAGAACTATTATACTGGATGGCATCAATTAGGCGTTTAAATCTTGCAACATTTTCATAGCATAAATCAGGATTAGTAAGACGATCCTCATTGTTAGATCACAAATATCTAAATTGAAAACAAAAATTTAATAATCATCAATAAAAAATCCATTCAAAAATTATATAAAATTCACCTGATAGATTGAATACATCGTTCTTCTAGATTTTGCCGAAATAAATCCAAGGCTCTAGAACTAAAACCTTCTAAAATAACTAAAAAACTTGTAAAATCTTCAGAATATTTAATGTTTTGTTTACCCTTATTTTTAATTTTTCGTTCTGCTGCATCATTTATAACTTCACATAATCTAATAAAAATCAGTTTGTGATTAAATACACCTTTAAGTGCTTTATCAGCTAAGGAAATCCATACATTATTTTTATTACATTCACTGTTATCATTAAGTAAATTCCATATGTCACGAAGATAAAAATTCTGGAGATGATTTTTAACGCATTATCCTCCCAAAAATATTTAGGAGTAAATTTAATATTTTCAGGCAATGGAACTTTCCTTCTAATAATTGTATATAGTCTTTTATCAGATCTTATATAGCAACATTCATTATAAATACTATTGCTATATTCAGCAAAGCTGGTACAAATTTTAGAACGAACTGCATTACCTATTATTTAAAAAATAATACAAAAATATAAGATATCAGATATAAAAATAATAACTAGATTTCAAAAATTCAAAAGTACTCACTTGTTCTATCTATTTGCCATGTAGATTCAGCATACAATGTTCAATTTAATTTTCTTTTTTCTTCATGATTTAGCTTTTTGCGTGAGAATTTTTTACCAACTAACCTTGGAAATAATTCACATACTATAATCTCAATACGTCTAGAACCTCCAAATTGTGCTAAAGTATATTTAATATATAAAGATATTTGTTCTGACTGAAGTCCGCAGTATATTTAATGCTTTTATGATTGATGTATGCGTTTTTTATTATTATTTGTAATAAGAGGAGGGGTTGAAATATCATTATCATCATTATCTATTTTATCTACTTGAAGTAAATCATCCTTATCTATACTATCATATATATCAGAATCAAACTCCTCTTCCCAACGCCTATTAAGTTTAATTATTTTACCACAAATACAAATAACCTTTTTGGCATTAATAATATGAGTACAATATTCATGTTTCAAAAGTCAGTCTTTATTATATTTACACGAAAACATGTTAAGAAAAAAAGATTAGATTATCATTTAGTCATACGTCAGTAATCAGCATATATAAATTAAACTATATATCACGTGATCTCAATAAGGATCGGCCAAAATTATCTAAAAAATAAGTAATCAAAAAATATGACATATAAAAAAAATATACTGAAAATACGCAAACTAAAAATATAAGTATACTGAAAATTTTTATTGATTCTAAGCAAACCTATTCTCTAACTATACCCAAAATTGCACCTGATTAAGCAAACAATTTTACAACCTATATACATATTATGCGGGGTCCTTAAATAATATAAATAATTCCACAATCCATAGAATTGATGTTTCATGTCATCGAATACAATATGTTATTAAACAAAATACTAACTATATATGGCACTAATATTTCGAAGTTTGTCGAATTTATTCTTTTCAAAATACTTGAAAACATTATGAAACGGTACCTTAAGCAAAATGTGGGAAGTTTGCTAAGAAAATCAGGCTCTGGGAATTATTGCATTTAGTTTTTGATATTATTAGATTAAAATGAAATATACAGTGGTATACAAAAAAATGAACTTTTTTAAAATCATAATAGGTTCACAAGTATTGCGTCAATTAAAATGTTTAATGCGTTATTTTAAAGCTAAGAAGTAGTAATTTATTAAAAAAAAAATTAATATGATATTCGTTCACCATTTTTTTCAATACCTTCCCTACAATGTTAAGGCATTGAATTTACAAGATTAATTAGAAGACTATTTTGAATTTTTCTCCACTCCTCTTCCAATAAACGCTCTAATTCACTAAGATTTTTTGGCCTACGCAACTCCACATTCCTTTTAACAATTGCTTAAAGGTTTTCAATAGGATTTAGATCTGGACTATTAGAAGGCTAATCCATAACATTTGGAACATTTTTATCAAGAAAATCCTTAGCAATAAGACCTAAAAATATTGTTTTTTAATATAATATATGATTCTTGTAATTTAATTTCTCTAAAAAGATCCTATTAAATAAAAATACAATAAAATATAATATATATTGTAATAAACATCTTTTTTAAAAAATACTAAAGTTTAGCAAAAAGAAAACAAAATTTAATCTATTTAATTAAATAAGAAGTATTATAAAAATAATTTTATCATAAAGATCATAGCAAAAATAATACAAGATATTTCTTTATAAAAAGAATTTGCAATAATTTTTTTAGATTATCTATTTCTAAAGGTTTAAACTAACTAATAATTCTTTAACTGGTTAATAACTGATTAAAATATTTGTTAATCAGCTAATTAATCAGTTAAAATTAACTTTGGTTAATACTATAGATTTGGTCAAAGTTAGACAATAATTTGAATTATAAAAATTTTAATTCTAATCAGAAAATAAATTTTGATCAAATTTAAATTCATCTATTTTAATCAGTTAAAAAAAATATTTAACAGTTAACATGTTAACCATTTTTAACTGATTAATTTTATTATTAAATTATTAAAAATTTTATTGGATTCTATTGGTTAATTAAGAATTAAACAGAACTGTTAAAATGAAATTAATCAGTTTATTACTATAATGAAGGTAAGCTGATGATTTTCTTTTTTTCTATGTGGATTAATAATTATTTTTTATTTAATATTATTTTTATTAATATGCTTATTATTTATTTAGATTCTTTGCTTTGACTAAAAACTAAATAGAACTGATCAGTCTGTCACAGTAGTGAAGATAAGCTAACAAGTTTCTTTTTTTAATATTAATTTTTTTATTTTAATAATCTTTTTATTTATTTTTATTTCTTTTTATATTAGGATTAATCAGTTTCTCTACTTTGGATAAGAATCAGATAAAATCTTCGAAATAGAACTGACTAGCTTATCACTGCAGCAAAGGTAAGCTAATGAGTTTTTTTTAATATTGCTTTTTTTTATATATACAGTTTCTGGCAAAAAGAATAGTGATGCAATCTTTTACTATATAATTAACATTTTTTTATAAGGATTTGTATAAACAATTACATAGTATTTAATATATATTACTAGTCTAAATACTATGTATATTATTTGAAGTCTGCAATATATAATTTAATATGAAAAATTTTTGAAATTATGAAACAAGATCAAATTTGAGTATTTGATCATTAAAATTAAGATTACAAAATATTTTATTATGTTAACGAGCTTCATACACTAATAAAAAAATGTTTAGCTAAATATTTTACAATAAAAATAATATATTTTAATTAAAGAAGTAGGAAATAGAACGCATAAAGTTAAATTAATAAAAAGAAAGACTAACTTTCGAATTTTTAGCATTTTAACTTGTATTTAAATCCAGATTTACAGAGAAGAAGAATACTTTTTACATTTTAATTTTTTAAGTGTATAATTCCTTAATCAAAAGCATTTAAAAATAAAAAAAATTTTGAAAGTTATTTATTAAAAACTTTATTATTCAAAAAAAATTTTCCATCATTATTTTCGCTGAAAACTATATTAATTAATATTTTTTTAATGTTTTATTTATTTCCTTTTTATTTAGGTTTAATTGAATCCTCTACTTTGGCTAAGAATTAGACAAAACTTTTAAAATGAAACTGATTAGTTTATTACCATAGCAAAAATAAGCTGATGAGTTTTTTTAATATTAATTTTTTTATATATATTAATTAATATTTTTTTTAATTTTTGTTTATTTTATTTTTATTTTATGTTTAATCAGATCCTTAATTTGTTAATCCTACAAAATATCAGTTATATTTTCTCTTAAATTTTATTTTATTTTAAGATATTTTAATTGATTTTTAATGTATTATCAATCAAATATAAATCAGATGTCAATCAATTATAAATAAAATAGGTTAAATTTTAACTGATTTTTAATATATACTAATTAGATGCAAATTGAATATCAATCAGTTATAAATAATATAGGTCAAATTTTAGCTGATTTTTGATGTATACCAATTAATAATAAGTATGCCAATTGGCTATAAATAAGATAGATTGAATTTTAGCTGATTTTTAGCCAATTTCTGATATATACCAATCTGCTCAGCTGATTTTTTAATAATTTTCTAATTTTAGGTTAATTTTTATATGTCTGATTTTTTTGATTTTAACCAGTACTATTTCTATCAATTTTTGATTAGCAGATTCAATAAATTATAATCTTTAAAATAAAACAATTATAATCTAAGAATCATAGAAATGTTAATTCATTAATGATTAGATTTAACTTTAATAAAACTTTAAATATACTTAAATTTGTATCACATAAAGCTAAAATAACTTTATAAATTAAACAATTTTTTATAGTAAAAATATACTTTTTTTTATGAATATAAAATATATATATTATTATAGAATATAATTTATTTATTTCAAATTTTTTGATTTATATTTATTTTATAATTAAATTGATTAATTTATATTAATTATTAATCTTAATTATTTATTTAATAATTAATTTAATAAATATTAATAATTTATATTTAATTTAATAATTATAATTTAATTTATATTATATAAGTTTATTTATGTAATTACAAACTGTATTTTTATAATATTTATTCTACATCAGTGTTACTAAATAAATTTTCATAAAAGTTTTAATATAATATAGTTATAAAGAAAAAAATATTTAATTTATTTATGATATATTTTAATTATTTTTATCTATAATAAAAAATAAATTAATATAAATAAATTAAAATATATATATTCAATTTTATATTAAAATTACTTACTTATTCATTATTTATAATATTTAAAGCTTCTATTAATATTAAATTAAATATATATATTAAATTAAAAAAATTAATAAATTATATATGTATATATTATAATAATTACCAATACTTTGACTAATTTCAAAACTTCCAATTTCATGGTCTAAAATTTCATTTAATCTTTCAGTAAAATTAAGTAAACGACTTGTATGAAATACTTGTAAATGATCTTTCATATCAATTAATTTATTATCTTGATTTTGTTTTAATGCTTTATCTGCTTTATAAAAATCTATAATATCATCTTTTGATTCTGTATTAAAATCTTTACTTTTAATATTATTAATCCAAATATTAATAATCTCTTTAATTTTTAATGAAGTTGGCCTTTTTAATATATTTATATCCCAACATTTTTCCATTAAATTTATATAACATTTAGGAGCATTTTTAATAATTTTAGGACGTTTACCTTTACAAATATCTAAACTAAGTTGAAAATCATGAGTTTCATTATTAAATGGAGTAACTTCTGATATAAATTCCCACATAATCATAGAAAAACTATATATATCACTAGCTAAAGTATAAGGTTGACCTTTTAAAACTTCAGGAGCTACAAATGATAAAACACCATAAATTTCGTTTTTTTTAGATGTTTAATAATAATTTATAGATTTACATAATCCTAAATCACTAACAGATAAAACCTTACTTCTAATATTTAAAATATTACCATGATGAAAATCACAATGAATAAGATTCTTTTGATGTATTTCTTCAAGTCCACTAATAATATTATTTAATTGTAATAATTTAATAATCCATTTATCCTTAACTATATTTGATAAATTTTTTCTTAAATTCATATTTTTTGCATATTTTATTATTACTATATAATCTAAAGTATTTGAATCTTGAGTAAATCCATATAATTGAATAAGATTTTCATTTGAATATTTTTTTAATTGACTATAACAACTATAATGAAGTTTCC